AGTGATGCCATAAGATCCCCCCACACCCCCACTCTATATCCCTCCCCCCATCCCCCTGCCCGTAGCCCCTTCACTATCTCTGGGGCTTTACGCTCGCTTCCGTCTTCCTTCAAGATTTCGGAAGCTGGAGGGTCTCAACTTCATCTCCGCAAATTGGATGGAATATTCGTGGCCCTTCCAGTGGAACCAGTTAACACCCTGCAAAGACAAAGATGAAGTGTGGGAGGTCACACATTCGCTTCTTCTTCTGTTGTCAGCCTTTACTGCTCTCGTTTCTGCTTACAGTCTCTTTTCTAACTTGGGAACAGAGGCACAACAAAGTAGAGGGGCTTTGGGAAACACGGGGCTCTGGCCACTAGCGTGCCCAACCTGTACAAACCAACCCACATGCTGTCCCCCAGAGCTGTCAGTCTTCGCCTGGCTTTCATGGCAGGAAGAACGTTTTGTTTCACATGTTGAAAACTACAATTGTTCCCTGCACACTTGGGATATTCCCTTGGAAAAGCATACAAAAACATCAGTATTTCACCAGCTGACATTAAATTCTTGTTTTGTGAGCAACTGCCCATATCTTTCCCTGTCATCCTTTGGTCTGGAAAGCGTTCAGATGTCTGGCTAGCTGAACCACCAGGCAGATCCATAATTGCAATTCCCCTTCTTCTAATGCATTATGGAAGCCTTCAAACACCAAGCTCACCTGACTGTGGCTGTTGTCACCATATCTGCCCATCAGATTGACTCGGTGACAATTCTTGTACCAGAATGCACCCTTGTATGACAAAGCACAGTTGGTGATGGCAGAATCGTTGTCCTTGTCAAAGGTGGAGAATGACCTTCCGTTGTGGTACGTCATGGAGTCACCTGGATGGGGGAGACGAAAGAGCAAAGTCAATGGTTTGCCTAATTTAGATTACATGGGAATGACCATTCTGCAGAAAATGTTTGTGCTGTCCCACGCACTGTCTGCAAAGCCTTGCTGTGTATCTAAGTTTTTAAAAATTTACTTCTTTTACTACAGAAGGAAGTATACAATCTTTGTTGTTGGAGGCAAGCCAAAATATTTTTCCAGGTGGTCTGTAATCCCTAATTTATTAAGTGTTTTTTCATGCAGCTCAATTTCTGCACTACTTGCTGAAAGCTGGATTTTGGCCTTGTACAGAAGGCAATGTGGACAAACCAAGTCCAAAGAGACCTCTGCAAGGAGTGAGTCAAGACCAAAGGAGTCTTTGCCCTTAGCTGGTCCATGTAGTAACGCTACCCATCTTCATTAGCTGAAAACACAGAGATATGTCTGCCTACTGTTGACTTTTCTCACTCCCAGGGTCTGGGTGCCCAGTTACAGATGGGTGCAATAGAAGCAGCCTTCAGTGTACACCTGAAGCAGAGCTCACATTCATGCCTTAGGATCTGTGCTGCTCCATCCATTCATCTTATATCTGAATGCTTAGGAAGAGGAAGTAGTCGGATTGAATCCTACTGGCTGTAGCAGCTACTACTGCTCTGCATCAGTGTGTTTGCCTTCAAAAGACATTAGTTCTACTACTGCTGCATATCCTTTGTCTGTATGCCCATTGGCTGTGCATAAAGCTCATGCGATGGTCACAGGGCTGAGACCGTACACACACATCTCTGTGGTCTGTTTTATGCACCTTGCAGCATGAAAGTGCTGCATAGGAGCAGCCCAAGGAGATATTTCTCCTTTTAAGACATCCTGTGGGGCTGGATTTATCTCTTAATCCTCTGAAGCCCTGAAGAGAACTCAATAAGGGCTGCAGGGCTGTCCCCAGTATGATTACAAATGGCAGATGATTTGTTCAGCAAAATTACAAATCATGTTATAGCAGGACTCTGTTGCATATTCCACTGACAAGAAATGAGGCTGTGCCAAGATATTATTAGCTGTATAAATGACATCCAAGCATGGGCCAAATGAGATATGTGGTTGTTTAATATACTTGTTTATATTCTGTCATAAGCATGCCATAAAATGTGGCATCTAAATGACTGGAAGATTTAAAACGGAAACATAGAATACGTTGTTATGTTCATATTTTCAAACACCTGACATACAAAAGGTACCTGCTGTGATGATGATCGGCAATGTTCACATACTGTTACCTTGAGCTAACTGGGAGGAAATTGCAAATCAGAAGAAAAAAAAAAAATTCATCTCACCTGCTGTGCCGCTGTACCCATCCACTCTTAGCCGGTATCTGCTCTTCGCGTCTCCAACGCTGAACCTGTCGTAGACAGCATAAGCTGTCTCACCTTTGTCCCGCAGATCCACGCGCAGCTCGTACTGGCCCTGAGAAGTGATTTTGTGGAGGTTCTCCAGACCTGTGGAAATAAATTAACATTCCATTTGCCTCCTCATGTTTATTTGTCTACCATCATGTTATCTCATAAAGGAGGTCATACTGGCCAGTACAGATACAGCAGGGCTGTATCACACTGATGAGGGAAGTGAGCTATTTCAGCTGAAGGGTGATGTTAGCACAAAACCAAATAGATAAAACCAGGCTGACTGAGAGACCTCTTCCCTTTACAGTAGCAGGCAGCCCTTTGGAAAAAGTAATCAAAGTTGTGTTGTGTGATCATCATTGTCTTTCATTTACAATGAAATAAAATGTAGTGCAATTTCTGAAAGTTTGCTTTTTACTTCTATTTTCCCCACTCTGCTTTTGTTGCTGGGGGTGTCCTGGGAGTACAGGAAGAAGAAGGTTTGCAATTGCTTCTCAGGTTATCTCCTGACTTCTTACAGAGCAGCAGTGAGCATTGGTTCGGTACTTTCGGTGACCCAAGAAGCGTGACATCTATGAACTGCAACTGGAGGGACTGGCTTGGACCTGGCAATTACAATCTCCCTCACAGCATGCTGTCTCTAGCCTCCTTTGTGCAGATTATGTTCCCATTTACAAATACTCTTGCCAACTAAATGGAGGCTTCAGAGGGCTCCTAGTCTTTTGGGCTTTGTGTTTTCTTTTTAAAAAAAGACAAATTCTTGCCACTTACCGATCCAGAATTCATCCTTAGGATCTCCAAAACCAGCCACATAAGTTCTCCAGTTCTTGTAGAAATCTTCTTTTCCATTTTGACGCCTCAGGAACACCTGCAAACACCACATGCAAGAATTGTTACCAACAGACTGTCTTTGACAGAAAAACCACTAACAATGTGGCTTTTACAAACGCAGAGGCTGACATTGCGGCTCCCGTGCCCTTGCCACCCAAAGCAGCAATCCCACGGCAATTACTGAATGTCTGTTGAACGCTCTGTCAAGTCTGTTGAACACTCCTTTTCTCTAGTTTATTCACTGGGTTCCCAGGCTCCCCTGAGTGATGTGGTCTTTTAGTTGTGGCTCTCTGCTGTTTTAACAGCCCTTTGCAGTTCTGTATTTCTCAGTCAGGACCTTCTACATCCTCTAGTTTCCTAGCCATGCATTTCTCCAGCTCCTCCTTCCTCTCTGCGCCCAGATCCCTCTGACATGTTCAGATTTGAGGACATCAGTACAGAGAGCTGGCATTTTTATTGCCATTCATTTGTTGTCTGGGTGGGATGTGTCTCTTGTATAATGGCCTGGGAAGCCCAGCCTGCCACCAAACCATGTGGCTGCTGAACAAATGCTTTCTCTGGCCTGTGTTCTCTCTCATTCAAATAGAGTCAGTCTGCCCTCTTCTCATCTAATTACCTATTTAGAAGCTGTGAATCTGATCTAAGATGGTCATTCCAGGACCCCCTACAGCCAGTGGAGAGAGATCAGTGCTTTTCCCAGGTGCTGAAACCACTGGTCTGACCCATCCGTTGGAGACACTTCTCTCTCCTCCAACTACAGAAAGAGCTGGTAACCTTGTAGGCACCAAGGCATCCTACTCAAGATAAAATTCCCCAAATTTATAGACAAGTCAGCCCTACTCTGATAATAGAGCACTATGACAGATGCCATAGATGAGCAGGGGTGGGATCTGCCACCCCTGCTCCTAGCACAGGCAGATGCATGTGAGGGTGGTGTGGACCCTCTCCCTCTTACTCACAATCCATCCGCCCCCATCCTCGCCCATGTCGCAGAAGACTTGCAGAGGCTGAGCCTTGTCCCCATTCAGGTAAACTGTGTAGAGCCCAGAGGTGGTTTCTCCATTCAGGAGAGCCTGGGAGCAGTCTTTAGGGTAAGGATAGAGAAGACCAGCTGCACACAAAAAAAGAGAAAGCAGTCCTTAATAAACCAGCAATTACCAGGAACGTCTTGAATATAGATGACTCATGAAAATCTGTTGTGGGTCAGTGGCAGAGCCCGGTACAGAGCCCAGGAACAGGCTTGTAATTGCTATCCTACATAAAAAGATTCACAGTAAACGGCAGATTGATGTAAATTTTTCTTTTGAATATGCTTTTGCACATCTGTCTACACTCTTAGAAGTGCTGTGAATGCCAGATAACTACTCTCTGCTATGATGGGAGTGCATCCTCCAACTAAGTATTTAAATGGCATGAGCTGTGTTTACAGCAACTTTTTGGTAAGACCAAATCTACTAATCTCTGATTATGTGACAGAAAATGGAGAGGAAAACATAAAGGCAGGATAAATAAATAAACAAATAAATAGGGAATATTTTGTTAGCAAATACGATATTAAATATGTAATAAAACTAGGCTTTTAAAAACCAAACAATAACAGTTGGAACTACAGGGAAATGTCATTAAACATTTCTTTCCGACAACAAGCTAATGGCATCCTTGCAGTCAGAACAATTTCTAACCCCCAAAAAAAGCTTTTCTTTTTTTCTTTTAAAATTCCTTTAACTTTTTCAGCCAATGGTCTAATTAAGTGATGTTTTAGGTGTGTCCATACTAGAGTTTTTAACTGTGGCTGCTCACAGAATGGCTGTTGCTCCCTTTCCAGTGTGTTGCACATCCCTGCCTGTGCCTCAGCTACAGAGAATTTGCATCAGCTTTGGGATTTGAAGAAAAGCATCTGTCTTGCAGGGAGCTACTTCAGTGTTTCCCTCTCACTAAATGGCACACAAATGTGTGTTTAGCGTTAAGGCTGGGCTTAAGTGTCTGCCTGAACGAGGCTGACACTGTGTTCGTATGGGTGAAGGCACCCCATTCAGTCCCTGCTTATGGCCAATTTGCCAAACGTCACTTAAATACACTGGAATTAATTCTTCTCCTATTTCTGGTTGTGGATTGCCTCCTGTTGGTGGAGTGCAGCCTGCTCTACACAAGGAGTGACTGTGAGCAGGCTTGGGGCTGCGTGACTTTTCTTAGCACTTCTGTGAGTCCTTGGGCTGAAGTTGGTACAAGCAGCTGAATGGAGAAGGGACATGGCTGAAGGTCCTGCTGCGTCTGAAAGGCTGGAAACTGTGAAAAGTGAGACAAATGACAGGGAAGATTCCACAGTTAGTACTGAACAACTTGTACTTTTTTTAATGTCAGCTGTGAAGTGACCTTCAGAGAACACAATCTATTTTTGCATTCAGCTCACTGGAGAGCTGTTCTGTTAGAGCTGGAACAGCCATGCCGTGTGGCTCTCTGAAAACCGATCTCAGAAAGAAGTGAAAAAACATGCCCAGAAATTCATCTCCTCAGACCACTGAACTGATCTGTTTGTGTGTGTGTGGTTTGCTTCATTTCAACTTAAAATGCTGATTTGTTTTAACAGCTTGCTACGCATCAATACAGAGGTAAATCAGGGTGTCAGTTTGGATTTTAAAGAGTAATGTTCCTTTTGATATTTTACATGGGAAAGGCAGGATGTTTCATCAGAGAGAGGACCTATAGAGGTGACGTGGATGGATATAAAGAAAAGAATTTAATCCTGACAGTCCAGGGAAAGCAGATGACACAACAGCTCAGGGGGAACAGGAACTTTTGCACTGACACTACAAGCAAATGAAATGCATACTGAAAATTGGATTAAAAATCTTCTATAAGGTCTGTGTCTGCTTATTGCAGAGCTCAGCTCTGTCCTGAAAGCAGTAATGTATATGTTATTTCAGTTGTGCATGTGCTTTAAAGTCCTTACTTGTGGTGAAAATAGCCTGGATCATTTTGCTCTTCAGGGATCTGTTCAGCGCCTGGAGTTTTACCGTGTACTGGGTAGATGGGCTCAGCTCTGTCAGGCTGTAGGAAGTTGTCTCAGGGTTTAGGATGACTTCCTATGGGGAAGAGAAGTAATACAGGGAAATCTCAGTGAGAAAATCTTAATGACTGCAACTGTTACATATTTTAGTTTGTCATATTATTTTTTGTGGTAATTACTTATGGTATTTTTAACCATCTAAATTATTTAATACAAAACTTCTATTCCTCTAAGGTTTTTATCAAGCTAACTTTCTTTAGAAGTTTGAGAAAAGTTGTCTGGAAATGAATGTTTACCATCATAATGTATAAGCTGTGTGGTTTAAAAGAAAATCAGCCTAAATGTTCACATGCCTTGAACGTACACATTGTATAGGTGTCTCTGTGAAAGTCATAAAAATTGAGAAGAATCACACTTTAGGACAAGGAAATATCACACACCAGTCTTCAAAAGGGTGTTTTCTGTAACTCTAAAAGATTGATTTTCAGTAAGCTTAGGAAATTTGCCTTCTTGAAAATCAGAACCCTTTCTGACGTACCAGGCTGTGCAGCATCCAAAACTATCTATTACATCATTTTTGCTGGGATTCACCTCATTCATATCTAAACATCTAGTGTAATCTAGTTATGTAGCAACACAATAAAATTATTGGAGAGCAAGAGGCGCTTTCAAAGGTGATTCATCCTGCCTTCGACACCTCACTTGCACAGGGATGAATTCTCCTGAGTTTAGAAAGAGGAATCCCATTCTTTGGTGTGTGTGAGCTTATTCCATGGTACAGGTTTGGAATGAGGAAAAATGATTGCTTGTGCTTTTGCGCGTGTTACGGAGAGATGACTGTCAAAATTCAGGCTGCAATTGAGCTTCTGTTTCAGGATATAATATAGGAAAGTACTTAAGCAGGTTTTAAATGCATTTTAAATGCATTCAGCTAGCACTGAAAGACGTACTTACTATTTCACTATGTTTAACTTAAGGCACATGATTATGTTCCATTGCTGGACACTTCAGAACATCTCTACTGTCCAGTTTTGAGGCACACCCCTTCGGGTTTGGTTACAAGTGCTATACCTTGACTCTGCCATCAATGGACTCGTAGATCAGGAGATAACCAGTGACAGGAGCACGTGGAGGCCTCCAAGTTATCACAGCTGTTTCCGACTGGATCTCAGTGGCACTTAAATCTCTTGGAGCATCCATTCCTGCAGGAGACAACAGATCAGTTACCATCGCACCTATATGGTCTGTAATACACAGTACATCTTAGGTGCAGTATATTAAGATGGGCCAAGAAAACAAACTTTTCCTCCCCAGAAATTTGAAATTAAAAAATATCTTGTCCTAATTTTGTGATTAAAAAGTAATTTTCCCATGGGAAGTTTTAAAATAAAGGTATTTATTTTACCTAAGTTAAAATATTGGCTTGCCTCAGGCACCTAGTTTATAAGCAGTTGCATTGAAGCAAAATTTTTGTTTTTTCAAAAGAAGACTTTTGAAACAAAATTGTGCCTTTCATTATTTCACACAGGAAGAGAGATCAGTATTTACGTATTCCCAGGAAGAAAAATTTTGCTTCCAATGATGCCTCTTTTGAACAGAAAAACTTTTCATACTTGGTTTGGCTACAGCTTCCCTTCTCCACTGTAATTATGACACTGAATTTGTACGGCTTAGCTCTTGGCTTTCTAGTTAATGCCCTGGGACAGGTCAAGTAACAGTCAGGAAAATGAGAAATGTCTGTGATTTCATTGATGCTCATGGAAAGCCGTAAGTATGAAACCAACTATATACCTTCAGCATTAGTAGCCCAACATTAACCCCCAAAGAAGAACTCCTGCTCCTGCTTTGTGTGAGAATCTGTAGAATTGGTGACAGAAAACCACCTTCTTGGATCAGTCACACTAGCCTTCCACCGGAGAAAATTTGGTGCAAATACTATCAAAATTCAGGTTTCTAGTAAAAAAAGCACAATGTGCTGGCTGACTTTATGGTATTAGAGAAAGGTGAGCCAGGTGGGACTAGAAGAGATGGTAGCTCCCTCATAGTGAGGTGGGACATAGCACCTGTAGTAAATTGAGTGGAGAGGGTCTCGCTCCTCTGCGTGTCCTTCAGTGCATGGACACTCAGTGTATACTCAGTTGCAGGTCGAAGGCCCTTCAGGTCATACTCCACAGTGTTTCCCGATACCATCTGAGTAACTTCTGGTTCTAAGAAGAAAACACGAAGAGAACACATGCCGGCATAATTCAGACATGTCATAATGTAATCAACTCCATGGTCTACTCAGTGTTTTATTTTTTTTACTAGCTGGGAGCAAGCGCAAAATAGTAAAAGCCCAGAGCCCACGTCTCTGCTTACACCTATGCTGAATCTGAATTAACACGAGTCCTTTATCTAAAAGTATTAGCACTCTCTAGTGTTCATATGAATTATAACACTATCTTTTCTTTTCAAGAATATCAGTTATCTCTGTTCATGTCTGAATTGGGAATGCTTAACTAAAATGATATTTTTTAAAATGCTTCCAGCGAGGCATCTACTTCAAATAAGAGGCCCCTGCCATCCTCCTGGAGTCACATTGCTGCACCCATCTCTGAGCATCTCTCAAGAAGTGTAATACTGTCAGGTCTCTGACCTATCACTAACTCTTCTTACCGTCCTCAGAAGCATAGGAGACAACATAATTATCCACAGCAGCAATTGCTGGCTGCCAGGTTGCCAGAGCCTCAGAGTCTGTGATGTTCACCACTATTAGGCCTGATGGGCTGTCCAGAGCTGAAAGAAAGAGGATAACAGATTGAAGGAATTTGACAAACATTCTTGGCTCTGTGCAATGCTCTGTTCTAAATATACGATATAAAATGCGCAAACACTGCTGCTTGGTGCAGCTTTTATGACCCCCTTTGGAATAGTGGAGCTCTGCAGAAATGACGTCAGTGCCTATAAGAAGGCATCTAATGCCTCCACTGGAAAGGAAGGTCAACGTGTGAAAAGATTAAACACTGGGAACTGACATAACTAACTATGTTCTCAGATCAGTCTTGATATCATCAGTCTCAACAGCTGTCAGAGCTGACATATTTCTCACAATACCCTCAAATCTGGACGGCTTTTTGGACCAAACTCAGGAGAGAGAGCTGGGAAAAATAACTAATGTGACGGCAGCTGATAGGCACTGTGACCTTCCACCAGCTTGCCTGGCATGTTTAAAAATAAACCAATCAAACAGCCAGTCAACCACCCAAAATCCCCACACGTCCTGCCTTGCTTCCTCATGGGACTCTATTTTGCACATAGTTTTATTCTCTCCCTGAATTGGGATAGATATCTGCTTCCAGTACATCTGGAATGGGCTATAAATTTCATGTTATTATCTGATACTCATCATGCTGTTCCTTGCCTCAGTTCTCTGAATATTTGTTAGCCCCCCAAAAAAGAATGAATGAATGAGACTGCAAGGGTGGGGTCAGCAGGAGCATAGTGGACCCCCATTTGCTGCAGGGATATTTAAAGCTGTATTAAAGAAAAAACAGGACTGTGTCTGCTTGGGACACAGTCTGGAACCTGGGAGATGTGGAGTTTGAGTCCACAACAGAAACTGGTCTGAATTGCTCAGCTGAGCTAGTCCTTTGCTCCCTCATCTGTAAAATGATATTAATTTAACTTCTGTTTTTTTCTGATATATTAGGACTGTAAATACATTAGTTGTCTCTGTCTCACTGCAAGTT